ATACTCATGCACACAGATCCACACTGATACACACAAGCAAGACACAGACACAAACAGAAACACACAGAAACACACACACACACAAACACACACACAAACACAGACGCACAGGCACACACACACACAGACATAGAATGCACACACAGATACACACATACACAACGAGACACACACTTAGATGCAGACAATCAAACATATGTGCACACACACAGACACACACACATACAGACACACGCGCACACAGATATACAAACACACACGCACACACACGCACACATTCACGTGTTCGCACAGACACACACAGGCACACAAATACATGAACACATACACACACACGGAAACACATATGCATACACAGGCACACACAAACACAGACACAAATAGACACAAACAGAGCCAACACAAACTCTGGGTTGCCCTCGCCTTGATTCCTGCCAACCTGTTCCTAATACTCTCTGGAATTAAGTAAGCGGGATGGTCCGTCCACAGGGAGGTGCTCGTTCCATTCCAACAAGCTAACTCTGGAGATTCCATGTGTAGGTGGGAGGTATGGAAATCTCAGATTTCTTTTGGATAGTGTTAGGTTTGTTGATCGATTTTCGTGTGCGACAGACACTCGGTTAACAAAAAAATTCAGCTAAGAAACCACACTGCTGCTTAAGTGCTCTGAGATGCTACTCACGTGAAGGGCACTATATGTTTGTTGCAGCTATTGATTTTATTGCCTCTTCTGGGAAGTCTCTTTTCAATGGTGAACCTCCCTAGATTATCTAACGGTAGTTTACAACTATCCCTCCAACTCAAGAGATCAGTCTGCTCCGAATATGGAGACGCTATAGAGAAGCTGGGATATTTCTGAATGCTTCTCACTTTCCTAAACCCTGAAGGAAATAAGACTCAATTATGTTTCAGTCTGCAATCTAACGGACTGAATGCCGCCATTTTCTTTCTTTCCCCACAAGTGGAAATGATTTTTGACAAAACGGTGCTCATGTTGTTGACTTTTAAAGACTTTCTTCCTTGTCCCAAGTCCGGAGCCCAACCCACAGTTACGTTAACTGAAAATGTCCATAAAAGGCAACATTGAATGTTGGCAATGATAACGTTTCACTGACTATTACAACAATGAGGTTCAAAGAGCAGGAACAGGAGATTAGATACAGAGCGCAGTGGAAGCTCTGAATTGGGCGGGTTGTTAAAATGATTCAAAGGTAAATTTGAAGTGGGAGGTGGCAAAGTCACGATGGTGTTGGTCTGATGATGGATGGGTAAACAGACTCCCAACTACTCTTGCTCTGTATCAGACTGTAATAATAATAAAAATAATAATCCTTGCATTTGATATAGCACTTTTCACAGAATATACTGTAAAGTGAATTGACTGTATATTTGTGGGCGAACGCGGCAGCCAATTGCGCACAGCAATGTCCCACAAACAGTCGTAGATTGAAAATGACCAATTTATTATTGTTTTGTTTCGGAGGGATTATTATTAGACTCTGTGTGGAGTAAGGAAACTTGCCCAAGGTTTCGCCCTGACCTGCCGGGAATTGAACTCAGGTCTCTCGCTTGCAAAGCTACTGGACTCCACACTTTACTGGTGACACTCTCTGAATAGGATAATGATCAGAACTCGTCACTCATCTTCTGGTTATATTAACTTTGAAAGCAACAAAACCTACATAGAATCATAGAACGCGTGACAGAATGGGTAAAGTGAAACAAAATAAATTGAGAAAGATTGAGAGGATAGAGGAGAGACAGTCCGATTTACAGAAATGGAGGAGAGTGTGTTACAAAGAATTTGCGCATGAGAGAAAGAAACAGATCCAGGGAGAGAGAGATGGAGACAGCAGTGAATGAGTTCTCACTGTGAGACGGAGTGTTTGTGAGAAGAGTGGAGAGGTGCAGTGAGGGAGAATGATTGTGAGAGAATGAGAGAAGAGAGTGTGTGTGGGTGAGTGTGAGTAAGATAAGAGAGAACAGTGGGGGAAGGAGTGTTTGATGGACATGGAGTAAAGATAGAGATAGAGTGGGTTGAGAAGATGAAACAGAGAAATTTGGAGTGTGGGAGAAAGCAAAGAGGTGAGAGAGGGGCAATGTGTTAGTGTTTGACAGAGGGGGAGACAGATTGATTGATAGAGAGAGTGATAGGAGAGAGAGTGATAGTCATTTTGTGACTGTTTGTGGGACGCTGCTCTGCGCAATTCGCTGCCGCTTTTCGCCCACAAAATACACAGTCAGTACACTTTAAGTGTATTCTGTGAAGTGCTTTGGGATGTCTTGAAGACATATATATACGGCGATATATCAAATTCAAGTATTATTATTATTTATAGACTGTGTGAGGGTTTGCGTGAAAAATGAGGGCGAGAATGATTGACAGAAAGGGTGGATGGAGTGATAGAGAAAGACGTGCGTTGTGGGGGTAGTGGGTTGGTGTGGGGGAGGAGAGAAAGAAACAGAGACAGGGAGGGAGTTAGCAGAGACAGGGAGTTAAAGGGAAGGATTAGTGTGTGGAAGGAGAGAGTGTTTTCAAAAAAGGAGAGTGAAGAGGGGGAGTAAGTGATTATAGAGAGGGGAGATAGGGAGAGTGTGAGAGGGGAAAGAAAGTGTGATCGGTTATGTCGTGCGGGGAGAAGGGGTGTGTGAGACAGAGTAACTAAGAGAGGGAGGGAACGTGTGACAGAAACAAAGGGGGAGGAGGGAGAGAGTGATTGAAAGAAGACACAAAAAGAGTGTGAGAGAAAAGTGAGAAAATGCGCGAGAAAATCCACATTTAACACAAAAATTTGGCGTCTCCAATAAATTTATTTCTTCCATTACCCTTTATTTTTTCGAAAAACCCCTCTGAAGCCAAAATGTTGTCCCACAAACAGTCGTAGATTGAAAATGACCAATTTATTATTGTTTTTGGTTTTTTGAGGGATTATTATTAGGCTCTGTGTGGAGTAAGGAAACTTGCCCAAGGTTTCGCCCTCTGCCTGGAATTGAACTCAGGTCTCTCGCTTGCAAAGCGAGCGCTCTAACCACTGAGCCACAGGACTCTATCTCTGCAATTTCTATGTGTAGGTGGGATGCATGGAAATGTCAGCTTTCTTTGGATACAGTTTGATTTGATGATGAGTTTTTGAGGTTATGAGATAGTCGGCTGACAAAAATAAAATTCAATTCAGGAGCCACGCTGCTGTTTAAGTGCTCTGATATGCTAACCACGTTAATGGTGCAGTATTGTTGTTCATGCTATCCTTTTGTTGACTTCTCTGCGATGTCCGTTTTCGTGGCTGAAGCTCCCCAGAATATCTAACGCTAGTTTAACGTGTATCCTTGTAAATCCCAGAGTTTCAATCTATTGTGGATCTGGAGATGGTGTAGAGAAGCTGGATCTTCCTCAATGTTGCTCACTGGCTTTCACCGTGAGTGAAATCCGATTTAATGTTCATTTTTAAGCTTTCTCACCGAATGCCGCCATTTGTTTCCCGTTTCCTCATAAGCAGAAATGATTTTGGAGAAAATGGTTCTCATCCTCTTGACTTTTAAGGAACACAATAAAGCTCACCCGAAATCCGGAGCCCATCCACAGTTACATTACATGAACATGTCCATAAAAGCCTACTGCTTTGATAACTTTTTACTGACTGTTGCACAAAAGAGGTTCAAAGATCAGAATCAGGAGATTAGACACAGAACACAGTGGATGTGCTGAATTTGGCAGGTGATTGAAATGTAACATAAGGAAAGCTGAAGTGTGGGTTGGTAACGTCACACTGCTGTTAGTCTGATTATGGATGTGAAGCCCAGTGAACATATGCACATGTTCCCAGCTATATTTGCTATGTAGCAGACTTTGCAGTTTCCGGAGAGGATCTTTAATATTGACACTGTCTGAAGTGGACATTGACCAGAACTATTCACTCATGTTCTGGGCCTATTAACTTACAAGATAACAACAATTTTACACAATGCATCTCACGCAGCGTGGAATCCAGATTCTTGATAACATGTGTGAGCGAGGGTGGGGGGAAAGAGAATTAGAGGAAGCGAGACAGAGAGGGTGTGCCTGAACACATGAGTGGGAATGAGAGTGAGAGGGGGGGAAGGAGTGGGGAGAATAACTGACAGAAAGGTGGGAGTCAATAATAGAGCGTGTGGAAGAGAAAGGTAATAGAGACAGGGAGGGAGAGAGAGGTGAAAAGCAGTGACGGAGAGTAAAAGAGAATGATTGAGAAGGTGGGAGGAAAGAGGAAGGTGGAGAGAGGGAGTGAGTGATCGAGAGAGGGGAGAGAGAAAGAGTGTGAGAGGTGCAGAGGTCATGTGAGGGAGATAGGGGTAATCAGAGAGAACAACAGAGAGGGAAAGAGTGTGAGAGAGACAGAGGGGAGTGGGTAGAAAGTGATTGAGAGAGGATAGAGAGCGAGTGTGAGTGGAAGTTGATCAAAAGAAAGAGAAAATCCACAACATTTAATACAATTTAAAAAGCCTGACATCTCGATTACGGATTTTTTCTTCCTTTCCATTTAGTTTTACTAAACAACACTAAAGCCAACTTTCGTAGCACACCCAAGCATAAAGATCCATAGAAATTTGTAGCGCAGAAGAGGGTTATCCGGCTTGTGGTGGCTGTGTTGATGATTTTTATACCAATCATTCGGTTCCGTTTCCCTGCTCTTTTCCCAAACCCCTTTTTAGATAGTTCACTCCTTTTAGATCGGTATCCAGATGTGTTTTGAAAGACAATATGGATGCTACCTCAAACACCACTCCCGCCAGGGCTTTCCATAAGCCAACAACCAACTGTGCAAGGAAACAAATTCTCCCAAACCTCCCATTTGCTGATTCATTAGTTATCTGAAATTGATGCTTTAGGCACTGAATCGCGATCAGTGGAACTTTTATAGCAGATACGTATTTGGTTTCTTTGGAAACCACCCAGGGAACAGTACGAGGCTGTGATTTATGGCAGACATTAGTTGCTGGACTGGGACCAGTGTGTTTTACTGTCTGTACAGCCCAGAACACTGAAGGCACATCACTGAGAGGCTCGGGAAGCAGAGGCAGGAACCATCGCTCAGTGAGCGGGGAGAGAAGACGGTGAGCCTCTCAATAGCTCTGATTGTGACTGAAATAAAGCAGTAAAGTTAGTCCTTGGTTTATGCGCTTGGAGATACCACGCCATGCGAAACGCGCAAGGTAGATGCAATGACGAACACTTGTGTGGAATATTAGCCCCAGCCAGATTGGACTGGACGAATTACCCTTTTCTTAGCTTATTTATTCGTTGCTCATAACTCATTCTTCTAATGGTGTCAACCAAACTATCTGCTTTCCTCTATGCTGTCTCAACGACCTGGGCAGACGCTTTTGTCAGCCACTGCCTCAATCTTTATATCTTGAAGATCAGCTTTTCGACTGTAGCATTTACCCCAACACAAACTCTGGGCTCCCACGAGACTTCGCTTTGCTAACCTGCTCCTAATGCACTACAAAATCAGTTAAGCTGGATACACCCCTCCAGAGACTGTTCGCTCATTCAATTCCTACCATCCAGTTTCCATGTGCGGGTGGGATACATTGAAATATCAGCTTTGCTTAGGTACTGTTTGGGGATGGGTTTTCGCGTGTGTCAGACTCTCCGCTGAGAAAAAAAATCAGCTGAGGAACCACAATGCTCTTTAAGTGCTCCAAAATGTTGCCCACTTGAAGTGCCCTATATTATTGTTGTTGGTATTGCTTTGCTCTGTGCTCTGGGATGTCCCTTTTCGTGGCTGAAGCTCCCCGGTTTATCTAACGCTGGTTTATAACTCATCCCTCTAACTCGGGTTTTCAGTCTAGTGTAAATCTGAAGATGAGATAGAGACACTCAATCTTTCTAAAAGTTGCTCACTGGCTTTCACCAGGAGGAAATCAGATTTAATTCTCCATTTTAATCTTCCCGACTGAATGCCACCATCTTCTTTCTCTTTCCCTACAAGTAGAAGGATTATTATTAAGATGTAATTGACTTTGACACAGCTCAATCAAATTCTCCCGAACTTCCTGGTCCAAATTCCAGAGTCAACCCACAGTTACATTTCCTGAAAATATCCATAAAAGGCAGTATTGCCTCTTGACCTTGAAAACGTTTCACAGACTGTTACACAAATGAAGTTGAAAGAGTGGGAGCAAATGATTAGACTGAGAGCAGAGTAGATGCTCTGAATTGGGCAGGTGATTGAAATGGATCAAAGGGAATGTTGAGGTTGGAGGTAGGAATGTCACACTGGTGTTAGTCGGATGATGGATAGGAAACCGAGTGACTGATGAAGAGAAACAGTTACAATAAGACATTGCATTTATATAACGCTCCTCGTGCAGGATGGCTTCCCTGAGCGCAGACTGTCCAAGAAGCTGATTGTGGGAGGAACTGCAGAAAGTGGAGTGAATTGTTTTACGGCTCAAGGGATGAGATTAATAAAGAGTCTCAGCACCACCTGCACATTACAGGGCAATGTACAACATGTGGCAGCCTGGCTCAGGTTCGCACTCTCTGCACTGTATCATTAGGCTGAGCTGGTGAATTGTACGTGCATTAGTGTCGTTGGATGGGGCTGAGCTGGTAAAGTGTGTGTGTGTCAGTGTTGGTGGATGCGGCTGAGCTGGTGACGTGTGGGTATCAGTGTTGGTGGCACGGGGCTGAGCTGGTGAAGAGTGTGTGTCAGTGTGGTGGATGGGGCTGAGCTGGTGAAGAGTGTGTGTCAGTGTTGGTGGATGGGGCTGAGCTGGTGACGTGTGTGTGTCAGTGTTGGTGGATGGGGCTGAGCTGGTGAAGAGTGTGTGTCAGTGTTGGTGGATGGGGCTGAGCTGGTGAAGAGTGTGTGTCAGTGTTGGTGGATGGGGCTGAGCTGGTGAAGAGTGTGTGTCAGTGTTGGTGGATGGGGCTGAGCTGGTGAAGAGTGTGTGTCAGTGTTGGTGGATGGGGCTGAGCTGGTGAAGAGTGTGTGTCAGTGTTGGTGGATGGGGCTGAGCTGGTGAAGTGTGTGTGTCAGTGTTGGTGGATGGGGCTGAGCTGGTGAAGTGTGTGTGTCAGTGTTGGTGGATGGGGCTGAGCTGGTGAAGAGTGTGTGTCAGTGTTGGTGGATGGGGCTGAGCTGGTGAAGTGTGTGTGTCAGTGTTGGTGGATGGGGCTGAGCTGGTGACGTGTGTGTGTCAGTGTTGGTGGATGGGGCTGAGCTGGTGAAGTGTGTGTGTCAGTGTTGGTGGATGGGGCTGAGCTGGTGACGTGTGTGTGTCAGTGTTGGTGGATGGGGCTGAGCTGGTGAAGAGTGTGTGTCAGTGTTGGTGGATGGGGCTGAGCTGGTGAAGTGTGTGTGTCAGTGTTGGTGGATGGGGCTGAGCTGGTGAAGTGTGTGTGTCAGTGTTGGTGGATGGGGCTGAGCTGGTGAAGTGTGTGTGTCAGTGTTGGTGGCACGGGGCTGAGCTGGTGAAGTGTGTGTGTCAGTGTTGGTGGATGGGGCTGAGCTGGTGACGTGTGTGTGTCAGTGTTGGTGGATGGGGCTGAGCTGGTGAAGTGTGTGTGTCAGTGTTGGTGGATGGGGCTGAGCTGGTGAAGTGTGTGTGTCAGTGTTGGTGGATGAGGCTGAGCTGGTGAAGAGTGTGTGTCAGTGTTGGTGGATGGGGCTGAGCTGGTGAAGTGTGTGTGTCAGTGTTGGTGGATGGGGCTGAGCTGGTGAAGTGTGTGTGTCAGTGTTGGTGGATGGGGCTGAGCTGGTGAAGAGTGTGTGTCAGTGTCGGTGGATGGGGCTGAGCTGGTGAAGTGTGTGCGTGTCAGTGTTGGTGGATGGGGCTGAGCTGGTGACGTGTGTGTGTCAGTGTTGGTGGATGGGGCTGAGCTGGTGAAGTGTGAGTATCAGTGTTGGTGGATGGGGCTGAGCTGGTGAAGTGTGTGTGTCAGTGTTGGTGGATGGGGCTGAGCTGGTGAAGTGTGTGATGTCAGTGTTGGTGGATGGGGCTGAGCTGGTGAAGTGTATGTGTCAGTGTTGGTGGATGGGGCTGAGCTGGTGAAGTGTGGGTATCAGTTTTGGTGGCACAGGGCTGAGCCGGTAAAGTGTGGTGTGTGTCAGTGTTGGTGGATGGGGCTGAGCTGGTGAAGTGTGGGTATCAGTGATGTTGATATGGGGGTGAGTTCTTGAAGTGTTGGTGGAGTCAGTGACCTGCTCACGCCTCACACCTCGACCAGCTCACTTTGCCCCAGCCAGACTGTCCTCCTGCACAAGCCTCCGCCCCTCAGCTCCACTGTTGGCAGCCACTCTTTCAGCCACTTTGCTCCAGTGTCCACATCTCTCTGCCCCTTTTATAATCATGACTCATTACAGAAATTATACTCTCTATAAATCTACAAGCTCAGCCCTGCAGTCGATGCAACGCTGTGTAGATTAATAGTATCTATGGATATCTGAGCAGTGAGCGATAATGAGATAGAAAGAACGAGACTGAGAGAGAGGGAGAGAGAGAGTGAATATGGCAGAATGGGAGATCGAGAGAGAGAGACATGAGACAGAGTGAAAGCTCGTGAGTAAATGAAAATAGCCACAGAATGGCCACCAGATATATGAGACAGGCTGATATCGCCTGTTAGAGACTCCAATAGAGCAGTATAAACGCAGGACACAACAAAACACCTGGCACCTCGACCAGCTCACTTTGCCCCCAGCCAGCGCGTCCTTCCAGAGTATCAGCCCTCCGTGATAGTATCTCGTCTGGTTCCTGAGCCAAGTGGTTCCGCACTATTCCAGGGCATCGCCAATGAGAGCCCAGTCTGGGTCATCTGCAACACCTGGAAGGGCAGACCTCAGTAAGAGGTTCGAATGGGGACGGCCAATACGGTGGTGTAATAATCCAAGGTTTAGCAAGTAATACAAACAACTTAATGTATTGTTAAAACGGAGACCATAGATACAGTAAAATCGATATCGATATTGAACGGGAGGATGAAATGATTGAGACACAGGCACCGAACGAGAGAAAGTTATCAGCGGCCGATAGCAGACATTGTGATATTCTCACAACCGAGACAGCCCTGTTTAGGGTTACGAAGAGATACACATACATACATGACTTTCAGAAATGTTCTCACTCTCTCTCTCTCTCTCTGTGTATTTCTGTCTGTCTGTCTGCCTGTGTGTGTCTGTGTGTGTGTGTGTGTGTGACTCTCTGCATGTGTCAGTCTATGTTTGTGTATGTGGGTGTGCAGCAGGGACACTGTGTGCTCTACCTGTCCCGGGCTGTGTGTGTGTATGTGTAGGGAGGGCAGTGCCACACTGTGTGCTCTGCCTGTCCTGAGCAGTGCGTGTGTGTGTATGTGTAGGGAGGGCAGTGCCCACACTGTGCGCTGTGCCTGTCCCGGGCTGTGTGTGTGTGTAGGGAGGGCAGTGCCCACACTGTGCGCTCTACCTGTCCTGGGCAGTGTGTGTGTGTGTAGGGAGGGTAGTGCCCACATTGCGTGCTCTGCCTGTACCGGGCTGTATGTGACACCAACAAAATTAAACTAGACATTCCTGACTAATGGCTGTTTGTTTATAAACAATATTTATATAGTTATTTGTTGATAGAATATATTTGCACTCATTTCAAAGAAGCTATTCCTTAAACAGAAAGAAAAATACTCAATGTATTATTATCCCCTTACAGGATGTTACAGCAGCGGCGTGGGGAGCAAATCGGCGATTCCCCCACTTTAGAGGAGGGACTAAGGCTACCCAACTTCGTGGTACTCCTCTTTGCAGGACACAGATAAAAGGTAGATCTTGTCCCCCTCACTGTAGTGCTCTCCTTTATGCTGAGGTTAACAACACAGAGCATGTACCCACATTTTTGGGGATGTACCCTTTAAACACAGAGGAGACCCTGTCTCTGACCTGCTCACCCCGTATCAGCCTGGTTATGTGAACCCACATTTATCTCTGCTCCTGAATACCCTTTAAAACTATATCATCTATTGTATGTTTTCTCCGCATTCTTCCTTCCAAAAAGCATCACCTCACTCTTCTTCACATTAAACATCATTATTTAACCAGCCTGTTTATGTCATCCTGCCATCTGCCACCATCTTGCTCACTGTTTACCACATTCCCAAGTTTCACGTAATCTGCAAACTTAAAAATGGTGCTCTTATATATCCAAGTCGTTCACATATATCAAACAGAGCAGTGGATCTAAAACTGACTCCTGGGGGTCTCCACTTTATACAGTCTGAAAAATAACCATTTACTGCTATCCGCTGCTCTCTGTCTTCCAGACAATTGGTATCCAACTGTCCATTTTATCCCATGGGCTTCAATTTTGCTGACGGATGTATTATGTGGCACCTTCTCAAATACCTCCTGCAAGTCCATATACACCACATCAACTGCACTACCTTCATCAATCATCACCGTTATATCATCAAAGAACTCAATTGAGTTTGTCTTTAGCAAATCTGTGTTGACTGTTATTGATTAGCTAATGATTTTCTAACAGAAAAATATTTTTTTCCTGGATTTTAGTCTCTGAAATTTCCCCATCACTGACGTTAATCTGACTGGCCTGTAGTTACTAGATTTATCCATCTCCGCCTTTTTGAACAGGGGTATAATATTTCCAACCCTCCATTCCTAGGGCACTACTCCCATATCCAAGGAGGATTGAAAGGTTGTAGACAGAGCATCCGCTATTTCCACACGAACTCCCCTCAGCAATTTATAATGTATTCCATCTTTGAAGTACTTCCTCTCAATTTTTATCCTATCCAATTTCCCTACCTCCTCCTCCTTTAGTGTGACATTGGCAGCACCTCCTTTGTGAAAACAAATGGAAACTTCTCATTCAGTACCTCAGCCGTGATCTCTGCCTCCATTTTTTGTCCCTAATCGTCCCCACCTTTCCTTTGATCATCCTTGTACTCTTTATGTGCTCGTTGACTCCCTTTTAAGTTTTTCAGTAATTGTCTAGCTCCCTTTTGAAAGCCAATATGAATACTGCCTCAACCACTGCTCCCGCAAGGCTTTCCAGATCCTGACTGATTTCGTGCATGAAAGACGTTCTCGTAATCTTTACCAATCCTCCTCTCCAGACACACATCTCTTTCACTGGATCCCTCTAGCAGGTGTTGAATCCCCTGCTGGAGTTTGGCCTAACTGTACTCCTTACAGCTTGAATGTGTTTCATTTGGCTCAGTTGGTAGCTCTCTGCCCTTTCAGTCAGAAGGTTGTGGTTCTAAGCCCCACAGTCCATGAGGAAATTATGAGGACATGGATGAGCTGCTGTAGACACAAGTGCACATGACAGGAAGCACCGGGCAGGACAAGGAGCGTCAATGCATTAGCTACAGATTTCTGTCACCACACGAAGAACAATCTGTAACTCACTCCATTTAATACATATCTTTGTTACAGGATGGAAGGTTCCAGTTCTACAGCAGCCCCTGTACAGAGCAGCGCCCGGCAAAGCAACAAGTCCTCAGCTTGTTCCACCAGAAGGGCTGTGCAACAGGAAAGAAATGGTCCACCAGATGGAGCAACAGGTGATGGCAACCGGCCAAAAGGTGGGAAAATTTATGTAACCTCACGGGCTTTTCAATCCAGGTGCTTCTCATGAACATGCAGCTTGTCCTCCCGCCCCCGCACTGTATCAGGCAGCGTTCCTCAGGGCTCTGTCCTTGGTCCTATCCTCTTCAACATCTACACACCCCCTCTTGGTGACATCATTCTAAAAACATAAGGTCCGTTTAGTTCACCTGTCCTGAATTACTTCTGTACTATATCCCACATTTTTATTTCCTGCATTTGCTCCTTCAACCGTCTCCGTCGGAAGCCTATTCCATAGATACCCTATTCAAACACTGAAACACTATGTGCGTAGATTCATTCTGAATTGAAACCCATTCAATCACAGGCCGTGTCCTCCGGTTTTATCATTCTGGATAATTTGCAACAGCCTGTTAAGATCTACATTGTGTTGTGCCTTTATAAACTTAAAGACAGCAATCATGTCGCCTCTCAATCATCTCCTTTCCAGCATGAACATGCCTAATTTACTTTGTCGCTAATGATAATGCAGTCCCTCCATTCCCCCAAACATTTTGGATGGCCTCCTCTTCATCCTCACGATTTTTCCAATCTCCTTTTTGACCGTGACTCGCTCTGCCTTCCCTCACCTCTGTAACTTTGCCTGACTCCGCCACTAGTGGAGTCCTGTAGCTCAGTGGTTAGAGCACTCGCTTTGCAAGCGAGAGACCTGAGTTCAATTCCAGGCAGAGGGCGAAACCTTGGGCAAGTTTCCTTACTCCACACGCCTAATAATAATCCCTCCAAAACCAAAAACAATAATTAAATTGGTCATTTTCAATCTATGACTGTTTGTGGGACATTGCTGTGCGCAATTGGCTGCCGCGTTCGCCCACAAATATACAGTCAACTCACTTTACAGTATATTCTGTGAAGCGCTTTGGGACGTCCTCCCGACGTGAAAAGCGCTATATCAAATGCAAGGATTATTATTATTATTACTACCTCACCACTCAGGCCGCTGAAACTCTTGCTCATGCCTTCATCACCTCCAGGCTCAACTGTGCAAACTGTGCAAACGCCCTGCTTGTCGGCCTTCCCAACTCCTCCCTCAGAACTCTGCAGCCCGTGTCCTGTCCCGCGCCAAACTCCCTGAGCCAATCTTCCCCACTCTCGCCCGAATCCATTGGCTCCCTATCCTTCGGAGGATCCAGTTCAAGATCCTGTTCCTCACATACAGAGCCCTCCATGGCCTCGCCCCACCCTATATCTGCGACTTCCTAACCCCCTACCAACCCGTCCGATCCCTCGTCTCAGTCGGCTCTGGCCTGCTGCAAGTCCCCCGACCCACCCCGCAACTTCTGGAATTCCATCCCCAGTCACTCTGCCTCGCCCCCTCCTTAGCCTCCTTCAAGTCCTGCCTCAACGCCCTCCTCTTCGACCATGCCATCGGCCACCCCCGTTCCCCTTCCTTCCCCTCCTGACCCCAGCTCGGGTCTGAAATGCTATAATCCATCCAGTGCCTTAGGACACCGTCCGACGTGAAAGGCGCTGTATAAATGTAATTTTGTTTTTGTGTTACTACGACGTCCAGAAATGTACACAGTACTCTAAGTGTAGTTTATTTAGAAAGATTTATTGTCTCGTCCTCACTTTCAAGGCCATCCATGGCTTTGCCCCCTCCTATCTCTCTGACCTGCTGACTCCCTAAAAACATGCTGGATCCTTCCGTTCAGTTGGCTCTGGTCTGCTCCATGTCTCCCACCCGACCCACTCTACCATCGGTGGCTGAGATTTTAGCCTCTCTGCCCCACACTGGTACTCCGTCCCATGGTCCCTTCGCCTTGCTTCCTCCCTTGCCTCCTTCAAGTCCGGTCTGAAGATCCTTCTCTTAGACCGTGCCTTCATTTGCCCTCGCACCTCTCTACCTTCCCTCATCCCCATCCCAACTCTCCCCCGATGCCCGATTCCCAACCTCTGAGTGTTCAATGCCTCGGGACGTCCGCCCGACGTGAAAGATGCTCTATAAATGTATTTTGTTGTTGTTATACAGTGGCAGGATTACCTCATTATTTTGACCTGTTATTGATCTTTTGTTAGATTCCAATATCTGGTTTGCTTTCCTCACGGCCTCAGAGCATTATTGGGAGAGCTTAAATGTGTTGTTAATCAGAACCCCCAGGTTCTTTTCATTTTTCATATATGTTATTTTCTTTCCATTCAAATGATAGACTCTTCCTGGATTTTTTCCCCCCATATGAATTACTTTACATTGTTTCGCATAGAATTTCATCTCTTCATTGGATTCCACATCAGAGGAAATGGCGTCTCTTTATCTACCCGATCGAATTCCTTTCGCATTTAAATAAATCAATCAAATCACTCCTCAAGCTTCTGAACTCAATGGAATACAATCCAAGTTTAAGCAGTCATTCCTCGTAAATTTACCGTTTTTGGCCTGGTAACATCTGGTTGACCTGTTATGCACCCCCTCCAGGACCAATATATCTTTCCTAAGGTTTGGTGCCCGAAATCAACGCTCCAGGCAGCTGGAGCATAATGTCCTTCCCTTTGTATTCCAGGCCTCTTGAGATAAAGTCCAACATTCCACTCGCCTTTCTGATTACGTTTTGCATCTGGGAACTAGTTTATATTGATTTGTAGCTATGGACCCACATCTCTCTTTGCTCCTCCATATTTCTTAATTTTTCACAATTAAGAAAATATTCTGCTTCAACTTTGTTCGGTCCATAGGGGATGAGCTAACACATCCCTCCATTGAATGCCATCAGCGATAGCTTTTCCCACTCAGTTAATCAGTCTAAATCCCTTTGTAAGTTCTTACTCCCATCTATGCAACTCACTGAGCCTCGTAGCTTAGCGTCGTCTGAAAACTTGGATATAACACTTTCTATTCCTTCATCCAAGTTATTTATGAGCATGTATGATGGATAGCTGATGTCCCAGTACAGATCCCTGGGGTTCACCGCTAGTAATGTCCCGCCAATCAGAGAACGTTCCCTTTCTCCTCACTCTCTATTTTCTGCCCCACGCCTCCATCCAATTACCAAGCCATGTCACAAGGTTAACTCCGTCCGATTTCATTTACTTCATTTTTGCTAATAATCCTTTGCACAGAACCTGAACAAATGCCTTCTGAAAGTCCATATAAACAATATGCATAGATACTTGCTTATCCACCATTTCAAAACATTCAAGTAGATTAGTCAGTCACCACCTACCCTTCACAAACCCTCGATGACTCTCTTTGACCAGCTCATACATGTCCAAGTGTTCAGACTCTGTCCCTGGTGATGAATTCCAGCATTTTCCCAATCAATGGCATTAAGCTGACACGTCTGCAGCTTCCTGGTTTCGCCCACCCTCCTTTCTTAAATAAAGGGGTGACATTCACAATTTTCCAATCTAAGGCACAATTCCCGAATCTTGTGAGTATTGAAAAGTTATGACAAATGTATATGCAATTTCTTCTGCTATTTCCTTTCACACCCTGGGATGGAAACTATCAGGTCCTGGAGATTTGTCTATCCTTAGTCTCATTATTTGCTCTATTACCATTTTTATTTATATTAATTTTATGAAGTATTCCACTTTAGATTCTCTTGCATGCCTATCATTTTGTCCTCATCCTCTACTGTAAAAACGCTAGCGGAATATGTATTTAACAGGTTATTTCCTTATTTTCCATAAGAGTCTCACCTACATCTGCTTTTATCGGGCCCGCATTCCCCTTGGCCACTCACTCTCTTTCGCTTACTATGTTTATGAAAGCTTTAACTATTGGTTTCAATATCTGTTGCAAGCATTTTTTTTTCATATTCCTTTATTGGTCCTCTTATTAATTTCTTTGTTTCCCTCTGTTGCCTTTTGTAGTTCTCCCATTCCTTTGCAATCCCACTTTTTCTTGCATTCGAGTAAGCCTTTTATTTTCGCTTGATACAGTCTCTAACCTCTTTTGTTCACCGTTGCTTAACTATACAACTGTAACTTTTGCATTTTAAAGGTATGTACTTGTTCTGTATTGTACCAATTACTTTTTTGAATACATCCCATCGTTAGTCTGCAGGTTTGCCAACTAACACTTCAGCCCAGTTTACTGTGGTCAATTTATTTCTCACCCCTTTAAAGTTTATCATAGAATCATAGAATTAAACTCACAGAAGGAGGCCATTCAGCCCATCGGATCTGTTCTGGATCTTTGAAAAGAGCTTTTCCAAATCAATCCCATTGCCCGCTCTCTCATCATAGACCTGATCATCCCTACTTTCCCGCTCTCACTCTCTCCCGATAGCCCTGCAAACTTGTCATCCCAAATAATTATCGACTTCTATTCTCAAAGTTGTTATGGTATCAGCTTCATCCCCTTTCAGGCAATATATTCCAGATACCAACAACTCGCTGCTTGCCTAAGTAACTTAAAACCATAGTTTGGGACTCTCCCTTCTCCCTCACAAACCTAATGTCAAATTCAATCATATTATGATCACTATTTGCCAGATTTTGCCTTATTGTTAAATAATTCTGGCTCATGACCTGGGTTGTCCTTCTCTCAGTCGATGTGAATATTAGAATCTCCAATTATAACCAAATTGTTATTGCTATATGTTTCCATGATCTCCGTATTTATACATTTCACCACAGCATCACAACTTCTGGAGGTCTGTCGACTGCGCCCTACAGAGTTTTACTGCATTAGCTGTGCCTTAATTCTACCCACAGTGTCTCCAACGACCTGGCCGTCTTGATTGAAATATTTCCTGGCCACTGCTGTAATTGTGTCTTATTAATGCTCTACTTCTGCTTCTTTCCCAATGTCTCTCTCTTTTCTAAAGATCTGATAACCTGGAATATTTAGCTTTCAGTCCCGCCAGGTTTAACTAATTACTGTCACACTATACTCTTCATGCTGAATTTGTGCTTTGAATTCACATGATTGATTTCTTATGTTTTGTGCATTTGTGTATATAACTCTTGTTAAGGTAACTATTCCCAACATTCATATATGCCCTGGCAATGTGCTTTACACACAGTTTAACGCGTTAAACATTTTTGTGATAACTTACTATTAGCTTGTTTCTTTCTGTTGTATTTATGTTTTTGTCACTATTTGTATCCTGATCGTTGCTCTCAACCCCGCCTTGCTTTATTTTTTGTTTAGCATTTACACCCCCCACCACCCCCCCATGTTACCCATCACCTTACTGGTTTAAAGTCTTTTCTACAATCCTATTTATTATTTCCGCTAGAACTTTGGTCCCAGCCCAGTTGATGTGCAGCCCATCCCAGCGGTGCAGCCCATTTCCGTCCCAGTACTGGTGCCAGTGTCCCATGAAATGGAACTCCTCCTCACATCACATATTCATTTCCCTGATCTGTTAATCTCTGCCAATTAGTATGTGGCTCGGACAGCCATCCAGAGATTGTTCTGCTTTTTAGTTTAAGCCCTAGCTCTTGATACTCCCTAAACAGGGCCTCCTTCTTCGTCGTTCCTTCGTCATTGGTTCCCGCATGTATAGGGACAACTGGTTCTTTCCCTCCCTTTCCAAGTTCCCTTCCAGCTGCTTTGCAATATTCCTTACCCTGGCACCGAGAAGACAACACCATCCTGGACTTTCGATCTCGACTGCAGAGGAAAGCCTCAATCACCTTAATTATTGCATCTCCTATGACAAAAACTTTCTGTTCTGCTCCTCCTCCGCTTGCACTGCCTGCTGTTCTGTGGTGATTTGGTTTGCATTCAGGCCTCCTTCCCCACAGACGTCTCCCTCATCCAATGTAATAATGATATTCAATGCTCTCACTGAGCTTCACGTGTACCTTATATATTGCCAGATGACCAGAAAACTGCAATCAGACGAATTGTGAAAAGTTACAGCGACTCTGAGCTGTACATGATTACCTGCTTCTACAGGCAGAGATTGGAGGTGATAGATGATCTGGTGGAGGACTTGACAGCTGTGCTGGGGAAACTACTGAAAGGCAGAGAGTTTATGGTAGGCTGAGCAATATTGAAATTGACTTGTGTTTTTGGTGAAAGTTCAGAGTGCACAGCCCGTTCTCGCGTGTTACATTAATCAGGGAAATTGATAACAATCCCGCATTTAAGTTACCTTAATAAACATTTCACCAGACCAGGAACCCGAATGTTACACAAACAACAATTTCAAAGCCACACAAGCTCCAATTGAGAAAATAGATACAGTAAATTCCATATTACACCGTCCAACTGGGAAGGAGCGTCGACTCCCAAGGAGACTCCAACTTACCCCGCTTTCCCTTGCCAAAGAGATAGCCTTCACACAATGCAAGATGCTATTGACCCGTAACAGGCTCTTTTTCCTTGGGAACACAGATGGAGAACTTTTTTTTCCAGCCTTCGCCGGCCTGCGTGTTTCTAAGCCTTGAGATAGACGGGTGTCTGAGCCTGCAGCCTTTTCTTTCTGATATTTATTGTCCTTATGTCTGTGATTAAGGACCCGAAACTCATTTTATCACCTGCCTGGACATTTTCCCAGGAAAATAAGAAATCTAATCAGAAGCTGATCTCAACCGGCAAAGATACTTTTAAACCCTGCTCAGCTAGTCCTTAAATGAACCCACCTTGTTAAAGGATTATGAGTGACTGACATTCTAGGAGTATATAGATATTAATTAAAAGGCTTTAAAAGCATTAAGTATCAGAAACATAACCTTGAAAATACAATAATAGTAGTTACATTTGGTATTGCCCCTTCCAATTGCCTTCACAATAAGGTGTAGTGGCTGTGTGTTTTGTAGACAAACATGGAAGGCAGTTTGTGTATGGTAATGCCCACCAACAACCATGGAGTGAATAACCCATTTTATTTGAGGGATTATTGGATTAGACAGCAGAGAAACTTCACTGTTCTTGTTAAATAGTGTCAAGGGACCTTTCATGTGGGAGGAGCTTTACAGGACAGTGCTAGCCACCTTGATGATCTCAAGGTACAAACCCAATGTTGCGTAACAGGGTAACTCAACACCAGCTGCTTAATCCAGGTTCTGCTGCGAATGTCTTGGCAAATGAAGGCAGATGCTCTCCAGATAGCATAGCTGATAAGGACATTCTGAGCGTAGGGGTGACAGCCCCTGGAAGATCTGACCAGGAGTCCGAGTTCTTGAATGCACGTTCGTACATTCAGCGCTTGTAATCAACCTTAATTACTGGAGAGAGGCAAGCAGCTTCAGCTTAAACTCATTACCACAAATTGGTGGAACCATTGCTCAATGGGAAGGGACGTGTACCCGAGCTGCGGACAGGAAGATGATGACAATCCCCTCACATATTTCATGTTGAGATGAGTTGTCCATCGGAAAGCTCACAGGGAGTTCCTGGTATCTAACATCCACTCCGTGAGTCTCAAAACTGCGCCTTTCGAATGTCGAACAACCAGCAAGTGACTGAAGGGTGGGGAGTTGGGATGGGGTGGCGGGCTGGGGGCGAAGGGTAGTGTGAATTTTAAATGGAGTCTCCGTGGAGCTGACTTGGCCCCGAGATGTCAGGCTTGGGAATGCAATGCGGGAATCTCCTCCACCCTCTGTGATGGTTTGTTTTCCCGGTTTCTGAGCCAGAAGGGGCCGTAATAAACCAGGGCACTCACTGCTGATGACAGCGCAGCCCAGCCTGACTCATCGGTAGGATCTGAAATGTAGACCAGTTACTGGGCCAAGGGAACCTACCTCTCAGCTCCGACTAAACCTGCATCCAAAGACCTAACTAACTGGTAGGGTGATCTTTGCTGGATAAGCAACGAGAAAGTTTGCCAGAGAGCGCTCTCAAAGGAAAGCTATTTGGTTTTAGTTGGTTAGACTACAGCAGTTACCCTAACGCACACTCTGGGTTCCCCCAAGCCTTGGCCCTTGCCAAAGGGTGTCTAGTACTTTTTCCGGAATTGGTTAAGCAGGATGCGTCCCTCCAGGGAGAGGCAGTGCACATTCAATTCTAGTAGTCTATCTCTGGGATTTCCATGTGTAGATGAGAAGCATGGAATTCTCAGTTTTGTCTGGGTACCCTTGAGGGACTGTGATTGGTTTCCACATGTGTCACGCACTCGGTTGACGCACAAAAACGTTTCACTTTCACGTAAACAGCCAGATGGGGCCTCGGTGAACCGTCGATTCTGAAGGACAACAGCTTACAGCAATTGCTGCATATCCGCAGCCTTGCACTGGAGCAGAAAACTCGACTGTGAGTCCAGTGTCTAGACATAATTCTTGAACCCACAAGTTTCAGATTCAGAGGCAAGAATTCTACTAAGTAAGCCAGGCTGATATAAATCAGATGATTCACCAATTGGGCAGATTGAGAGAGTTCTGACTCCGAAACCACACAATCGAATAAAGCCATTCATCTCATAGCAGTGAGGGTGCAGTTTGACACTTCTGTTTCCCTTTTTACAGGATATCAGACAGCTGGTAAAGAGCAAACAGAGACAGAAAGCATCGAGAATTCTTCTGGATTTAGTGACTAGAGCGCCAATCCAGGTGCAGAGAGAGATGTGGGAAGTTTTTGTGGAAATGCAGGACAATAAACCATAGCTGAAGGGAATCCTAAGGGAGATCCAGGAAAAGGGTAAGACACACCATAAATGATGGAAGTTTTTACGAGAGGAGTGGAGTTTGGGGTGTGGAAATCGGATTTTGAAAACTTTGGATACAAGCTGCTAGAAACCCAATCATCTCAGATTTGTAGCTATGGTTTGTGGGGAAATGGGGTTGTAATCACTAGGGTATAACCAGGATCAGGTCAATCTGATTTGAGGAAATTCTGGTTTAACGGCTGATAAATAACAAATATCCGAGGCATGAAAGTGACAACAAAGTAAAGGAGTGAGTAAAACAAGGAACCCTTAACATTGAACTATGACCAATGTTTGTGAGTAGGTGGTGGCAAGCCGGCGAGAGATATCTGTCAAGGAAACAACCATCGGTTGCCTTGGTACAAACATAAGATATCGATGCGAACATAATAAATGCTCGTCGATCAAAAGACAAAGGTCCATCTAGTTTGCCTTCCACCTTCCTGGTGGTCACATGCACATATGTCCCAAACTCACGCTGTACTGTATCCCATAATGTTATACAGAATACAGTACTACTAGAAATCTCTCACATCTCTGTTTGAAAGAATCAACATTTCCTGCTTCAACCATCTCCCCGGGGAACCTGTTCCATTGGTTCACTATTCGCTCACTGAGATAGTATTTCGGTAGATTCCTTCTGAATTTACCCCATTTAGTCGCAGACCGTGTCATCTGGTTTTAATATTCTGGAGACGTTGAAGCAGTCCTTCATGATCTATATCGTCTATCCCATTTAAAATCTTAAAGACAGCAATCATTTCGCCTCTTAAATTTCTCAAAGTTGGTGGCCATAAGCACGGTCGAAGAGGAAGGCTTCCAGGCAGGACATGGAAGAGGGGCGATGGGGGGCATGGCGAGACGTGAAGGGATAGAACTTTTGAGAATATGGGAATCTTGAAATCCACCTTTGGAATGGGAGTCATTGGAGTCATGCAAGGGTGGAGGCCCAGCGTCTATATCAGGGGTTGCAGAGAAAGCAGGAGCTGCAGAGTTGGGGACAATCCGGAGCTTGTCCAGAGAAGAAGCGGTTAGGTCAGAGAGCAAAGTGTTGCAGTAATTGGGCCGGAAATTGCTGATGGCATGAATGAATTCCTCAGGACCAGTGGGTCATGGTAGCGATGGGCAATATTGCTGGTGTGAAGCGAAGATTAGCGAGGGACAGCAACAACTAACATTTGTATAGCACCTTCTCATTCAGGGTAGCGTCCCAGAGCACTTAGCAGTGGCAGAGCACGACACTGAGCAGGGGGTGACCACATGCGCAGTCGAAAAAGAAGGTATTCAAGAGCGAGCTGAAGATAAGGAAGGAGGAGACGAGGCGGAGGGATAGAGGGAGAACTTCCAGAGCTTCGGGGTGTAGTGGCTGAAAGCACAGCCACAAATGGTGGAACAGAGGGCACCGGGGGGCAAAGAGTAGGCCGGAGCCAGTCGAGTGGAGTCAGCGGGTTGGGGAGTAAGCAGATCAAACAAGACCCAGAGGGTCGTCACTGCCTCCATAATGTGGAGCTTGCTTCCAGCAGGTAAATTCAGGAGGAGCTGATGGGAGCTAAGGCAGGAGAACTGTGTCTTGTTGACATTCAGCTGGAGAAAGTTACAGCTGAATCTGAACTTGATATCTGATAGGAATTGGTCAAAACACGGTGCAGTAATGGCCAAACTGTAAAGACTAAAGGGTAAAGGCTAAAGGGATAGAATTAGGTGACTTCCCCCTCCACATGGAAGTGGGAAGCATTCCATAATGACATTAATAAACACCCCAAAATAAAGACTTGATCGTCTGTCAGGCTCATTTCATAACTAACTGATATTAAACATCTTCAGGTACGAGGCTTCCCATTGAGGTATTTCAGTGCTGGTGTGAAGAGGAGGTGCCTGAAGAACTTAGAGGTAAGTGTATAAAGACCTTCAGATCAATGACATCAAACTGATACAAAATATGAAATCATTTTATTTTTAATAAAATACTTTCTCCAAGCTTGAAACTCACCAAGTGTTTTACAAAATAATTTAGAAATTAAGCAAAGAGCAGTGGTTGGGAACTTGGAGGGCGGTGGATCTGAGCACCAGAATAGAGCTGGTGAATGTGGCAGAGTTCAGGAGAGCAAAGAACATGAAGGTGTTCGAAAGTCAGGCCATGGATCTGGAAATCCACCAACTGGGGACCTGGAATAAGTTGATCCGGGGGAGAAATGGGAAAAATTCAGGCCATCGGGATACACTGTAAACTGTCAAATGAAGGCAACTGTATTTAATTTATTAATTGTGGGAAATATTTCAAAAATTAACAAAATAAATATTGAATGTGTAAAAACAAAGAAGGAAGTAGAGGGGTTCAGAGGTGACTGTTTTTGGGGTACATGGATGGGGGCGGCTTGTGTATAATATGAACACTGTGAAGGACTGTCGGAGTGAATAATATGTTTCAGTATTTTACATTTTTATGTGCAAAAGAGAGAACCTGGGGTTCAATTCATGGTCAGGGTGAAACTTTAGGCAAGTTTCCTTACTCCACACGCCTCTTCACCCAGTAAGTGAAATCACTTGTCAGTTGATTGGCGGATTGCTGTCCGGGGACAATAATCACTTCAAAATCAAACAATAATTTGATCACTCAATCAACGGCTATTTGTGGGCACTGCTTTGCACAATTCGCTGCCGCCTGTTGCCCATAAAACATACAGTCACTATATTTTGTAGTATATCCTGTGAAGTGCTTTGTGACGTCTGGAAGAAGAGGTAAGGAGCTTATCAAAGGCAAGGATTACTATGATTTTGTGTGTGTTATGTATGCGTGCATGTATGTTTGTGTGTATGTATGAGTTTGAATGCATATATCAATAGAAATGTATGCACTTGTTTCAATGGGTTATTGTATAAATGTGCAGTAATATTGATGGGATCTGATGTTCAATTTTAAGACGTTCAGAAACAGCACAAAAAAACCATCCGCGCCCAGAATGAGAAACTCTCAGTAAACACCCTGCGAGGACGGGAGAAGACCAAGACATTTCTGCTGTCTGACCGCTACACAGAATTAATAGTCACTTCCTCTCACCGTGATCGGAGGCTGGTGGAGCATGAACTGGTGGCGAGAGGCAGAGAACATGAGGAGTGGCAAGAGAGGAATGTCAGGAAGGAGCAGGGGAGAATAGGATCGGATGAGCTGTTCGGATCTACTTTCGGGACAACCATCCTGAGTGGAATCGCAGGGATTGGGAAAACCACCATGGTGCAGAACATTCTGTATCGCTGGGCCACAGGGAAGGTCTATCCCCAGATCCACTGTGTCTTTCATTTCAAATTCCGTGACCTGAACGTGGTAAAAGGGGAAACCAGTCTGAAAACCATGGTCCTGGAATCATATCCTTATCTTCAGGATGTTCTGGACAAGATCTGGGAGAAGCCGGAACATTTGCTGTTTGTGTTTGATGGTTTGGACGAGTTCAAAGGCAAGATTGAGTTCACAGACAGTGACAGAAACCTATCCCTTGAAAGCCTGTGTCCCGTGGCTGACATTGTGCGCTCTCTGGTGCAGCAGGAAGTACTGAAAGGCTGTTCAGTGCTGATCACAAGCCGCCCAACTGCTCTGGAGTCTTTAGATCACATTCACACCAACCTCTGGGCTGAAATCCTGGGGTTCTTTGCTGAGGGAAGGGAAGATTATATCAGACGCTATTTTGGAGATGAGAAAATTGCAGCTGAAGTGCTGAGATATGTGAAGGAGAACGAAATCCTGTACACCATGTGCTTCAACCCTTCCTACTGCTGGATCCTCTGCTGTACATTGGAGACAATCTTCAAGCATCCAGAACACAGACAGCCTCCCCCCAAAACCATCACACAGCTGTACTCCAACTACATTTACAACATCCTGAAGAACCATCCCCGAGAGAGCGAGAGCCCTCGGGAGGTGATGCTGAGAGCCGGGGAGATGGCCTATGAGGGGGTCTGTAACAGGACCATTGTGTTCGATGATGACCATTTCAAACGCCATCAGCTTGAACCCTCAACCTTCATCTCTGGGTTTATGATGGAGATTCTGGAGAAGGATGATGGTGGGAGACGAGTTGTGTACACATTCCCTCACCTCACCGTCCAGGAGTTTGTGGCTGCTCTCGCTCAGTACCTGACTCCCGTCCGCAGGAACCTGGTGGAGCTGCTGGACCACGTTCACAAGGAGAACGACGGGCGCTTTGAGATCTTCCTGCGGTTTGTTGTGGGTCTCTCCTGGCCACACACAGCCCGGCAGCTGGAGGAGATCCTGGGGCCGTTACCTAACGCGTCAGTCTGTGAAGCCATCTCCTGGCTGAAGGTCAATGTTGAGGCGGCCATTAAACAGTCAGGGAGTAAAGATGGGAACAGGAAGCTGCTGAACATGATGTACTATCTGTTTGAGTCTCAGAACAAGAGACTGGCCCAGATCACACTCGGAGCTGTGGAGAAATTGAACTTTAGTGGGATGAGATTGAACCCTCTGGACTGTGCTGTGCTGTCTCATGTGTTACAGCTCTGTGACACCATAGAATACCTCAATCTCAACCGCTGTAACATCGGAGCTGAGGAGCTCCAGCGTCTGGTGCCCGCACTGCACAAGTGCCGACAGCTCAGGTTTGTCCTTATTGATGGTTACAATCAGAAACCTGTAGGTTATCAGCCAGAGAGTGAGGAGTGTGAGCGCTGGGGGAATAAACTGACATACAGACGGTCTCATTGGGGGAGAATTCCCAAACTCCTTCTGTCGGTAAATGAGACACGATGTTAAAGCCTGTGGCCAAGTCACATGGGCCGGGGGAGACTTGGCTGTCGGTGTGGGGAGTGAGTGCTGTGGGGCCTGAGCTGGTGGAAGCAAAGTAGGAGAGAGTCCTGGAGGGGCCAGGAGCCAATCAGGGGACCTGCAAGGAGGGGGGAAGGACGGAGGGAGAGGAAGGAGGGAGGAGCAGGAGGGAGGGAGAGAGGGGAAAGGTCCTAAGGAAGAAGGGCTTGGAGTGATGGGAAGGAGAGAGAGGGGGTGTTGGGATTGGAAGGAGGGATTGGGTTGCGGGAAGGGAAGGAGGGCGGGGGACAGAAGGAGTGTCAGAAGGAGCGAAGGTGGGAAGAAAGCAGGTATGGATCAGGGATGTGAAGAAGGAAGCGGAGAGCAAGGGAAGACTAGGGTTGGATGTAGGGAGTGAAAGGAATGAGGGAAGGGTGCAAAGAATGAGGAGGGGAAGGAGGGAAAGGATAGAGGGAGTAGAGAATGGGAAGGAGGGAGTGTATGGAGAGTTGGAGCAGCCAGAGGGCGAGAGAGGTGCAGGAAGGTAGGAGAGTATGAGGTGGAAGGATGAAGGGAAGTAGGGTAAGGGGTGAGGGAGGAAAGGAGGGAGGGACGAAGGTCGGGGAATGAGGGATGGGGGAAGGAGAGAGAGAGGTGGAGCGAGGGGAGGAAGGCAAGGAAGAGGGGAGGGAGGAGGGGGGGAGAGGAAAGAGGGAGAGAAAGGTAGGAGTGTGAGAATGGAGAGAGGGCAAAGAAGGATGGAGTGAGAGGAAGGAGGGAGTGGGAGGAAGGAGGGGGAGGAATTATGGGGGAATGGAAAGGAGGAAGGGAGGAATGGGAGACAGAAAGGGAGGGGGATGGAAAGCATGGAGAGAGGGAGAAGACAGAAGGAGAGGAAGGAGGGAGGAAAGGGACGGAGAGAGAGAAGGGAGCAAGTGGGGGAGTGAGACGAATGAGTGAGGTGAAGGAGATGGAGGTAGAGGAAGGAGGGAGAGTAACGATGGAGGGAGATGAAGGATTCAGGGAAGCGGGTAGGGAGGAAGAGGTAGGAGGGAAAGCAAGGTGGGAGGGAAGGGAGAGGGGGGGAGGATGGAGGGAATGGCGTGAAGGACGGAAAGGTGGGAAAGAAGGGAAGTAAAGAATGAGATGGAATGGAGGCAGGAGGGTGGTGGGATGGAGGGAAGGAAGGAGGTAGGGAAGGAGTAGGAAGGAAGGAGGGAGAGATGGGGAGGAGGGAGAGGGGTAGCGAGGGAGGGAGAAGAATGAGGGAGAGGAAGGAGGGAGCGTAAGGAGGGAGGGAGGGGAAGGATGGAGGGATGGGAAAGAGGGAGTGGAAGGCGGGAGGGTAAAGAGGGTGGAGGGAAGGAGGGAGAATAAGGAGCGAGGGAGGAGAAGTAGGGACGGAAGGAGGGAGGGGTTGGGAGAGGAAGAGGGAGGGAAGGGTGAGTGAGTGAGGGAGAGGAAGGAGCCAGAATAAGAAGCGAGAGATGGGAGGGAGGGGAAGAGGGAAGGTGGGAGGGAGAGGAAGTAGGAGAGAAAAGAGGATCGGAGATGAATGAGGGAGTGAGAGGAAAGAGAAAGGGAGATGAAGAAGGGAGGAAGAGGAGGCATGCAGAGGAAGGAAAGAGGGAGAGGAAGTAGGAAGGAAGGAGAGAGAGGAAGGAGGGAGGAAGGAGGTGGAGGAATGAGGGAGTGATGGGAAGGAGGGAGACAGTAGAGAGGGAAGGTGATGAGCGAGGGCGAGGAAAGTGAAAGAGGTAGCAGGGAGGGAGGAGAGAAAGGAGGGAGCTGAAGGAGGGGGCATGAGAGGGATGGGAACGAGGGTGTTGGAGGTGGGGTGGAAGTAGAAAAAGGGAGAGGAAGGAGCGATTGATGGAGGGAGGTGAAGGAGAAGGTGGAATGTGTTAGAGGAAGGAAGGAGAGGATGGAAGGAGAGGAAAGTGAGAGAGGAAGGAGGGAGGGAGTGGAATGAGGGAGCTTAAGGAGGCAGGGAGGTGAAGGAGCAAGGGAAGGAGCGAGGTGGGGAGAGGAAGGAGGGAGGGTAGGGCGGGTGACGCGTGGTGGTGAGGGATACCCGAGGAAGAAGGGAGAGTATGGATGGCGGGAGGGGAAGCAGGGAGGGAAGGAGGAATGAAGGGGAGGGTGCAAGGGGGAGTGAGAGGCAGGAAGGAGAGAGGGTGGGGGAGGGAGAGGAAGGAGGGAGGGAGAGGAATGAAGGGTGGAGGGAGGGAGCAGAGCGAAGGAGGGCGGGAGGTCGGTAGGAAGGGAATGGGGAAGGTGAAGTTTGAATGATGGAAATGGTTGCGGAGCAGTAATAATTCCCCACCGGGGCCACACGGAAACCCCACCGGTCACCTGTTCAACACATGAATCGACAAAATGTCAGCGGTTTGATGACCGCGTCACTTGTGCGGTGTGTCTGACCCTCAGCGCCTTGGGACTTGCTCCCCAAGTGAAAAGCTCCTCTACATACATGTCAATGGGCATTGTGTTGTTACTCTATATTCCCTGTGTTTGTGTCTCTCTGTCCAGCCTGGAGTTCAATAACCTGAGAGATTGTGGAGTGAAGAGAGTGTGTGAGGCTCTGAGGAACCCGGAGTGTAAAATACAGATTCTGAGGTAAGTAACGCACTGTGTCTCCAGAGTCTGAATGGCTCCAATATCTCAATGTGTTTATTGTGACTGTCCGATCAGTGCGGCTGAATATTGTGACAGGAATCGGTGTGTCAGTGTGAGGCCACAAACCATCGTTTACATCAAACTCTCAACATGTGTTAATGTGTGTGTGTCTGTGTGTGTGATTTTGTGCCTTTTGTGTGTGTGCTGGTGTGAGTGTTTGCATTCTTGTGTGTGTGTTATTTTTCTGTGAGTGTTTGTGTCTTTCTGTGTGTTTTTCTTTGTGTGCATTTGCGTGTGGATGGGTGATTGTGTGTTTTTCTGTGCATTTATTTGTGTTTATGTGTATTTACGGGTGTGTGTTTGTGTGTGTGATTTTGTGTTTATATGTTTGTGTTTGTGTGCGTTTGAGTGTGTGTCTGTCTGTTTATGTGTGTGTGTGTTTGCAAATTAGTTTTTCTGTATTTTGTGTGTTTCTGTGTATTTGTGTGTGTCGGTGTTTGTGCGTATGTTTGTGTATATATGTATATGTATGTGTTTGTGTGTGTGCTTGTGTGTGTTTCTGTGTGTGTGCTTGTGTGTGTTTCTGTGTGTGCGTGCATGTGCTCACGTGTGACTTTGATTGTGTGTGGTTGTGAGTGGTTTTTGTGTGTATGTTTCTGTGTGTTTTTGTGCTTATTTCTGTCTGTGTACGTTTCTATGTGTTTGTTTGCACGCATGCTTGTGTATGTGATTTTGTGTATTTGTGTGTTTGTTTGTGTGTATGATTGTGCATGTGTGTGTGATTGTGTGTGCTTGCGTGTGTTTCTGTGTGCATGTGGGGGGGGGGGGGTTACTTGTGTGTTAAGTGTGTGTGTATGCCTGTGTGTTTGTTTGTGTGTGTTTGATTTTGTGTGTTTATGTATACGTGTGTGTGTGTTTGTTTGTGTCTGTGGATGTTGTTTGTTTGTGTATTTCTATGTGTGTGTGTTTATTTGTGTTTGTTGTGTGTATGTGTGTGTGTTTTTGTGGGCATACTTGTTTGTGTGTATATGTTTGTGTATGCACGTGCGTGTTTTTGTGTTTGTGTGTTTGTATGTTTTGTGTCTGTGTATCCTTGTGTGTTTGTTTGTGTATTTGTGTGCGCGTTTGTGTGCGCATTTCTGTGTGCATATGCTTTGGTGCGTATGTGCGTTTGCATACATACTTGTGTGTTTGTGTGGATGTGTATCAGCTTGTTTGTGCATGTGTGTGATTTTTTTGTGTGTTCGTAAGTACTTGTGTGTTTGTGTGCATTTGCGTTTCTGTGTGTATTTGTGTGTGGGCTTGTGCGTTTATTTGCATATCTGTGTTTGTGTGTACTTCTGTATGCCATGTGTTTATGCGTGAGCAAGTGAGTAAGTGGGTTTGCGAGGCTGTGTTTCTGTATTTGTTTCTGTGTTTGCTTGCGTGTTTTCTTGTGTGTTTCTTTGTTTGTGTGTGTGTTTGTGCATCTGTGTTTGTATGTGAGACTGTGTGTCTGTTTGTGCATTTATGTGTATTTGGGTGTGTGTGTTTTTGTAATGGTGCGTATTTGTGTGCATGTTTGTGTATCTGTTTCTGTGTATATGTTTGTGTATGCGTGCATGTGTTTTTGTGCTTGTGTGTTTGTGTGTGTATTTGTTCTTTGTGTGTTTGTGCATTGGTGTGCGTGCGTGTGTCTGTGTGTGTTTGTGTGTCCGTGTGTGGGTGTTTGTTCGTGCAGTCGGGGAGCGGCAGCAGGACAGCGCGGGGAGGAGCCTGGGCCTACTGACCCAGATACTTAAACTCGACGCCGGAGCGAGTGCAGCCAGTCGGGGAGCGGCAGCAGGACAGCGCGGGGAGGAGCCTGGGCCTACTGACCCAGGTACTTAAACTCGACGCCGGAGCGAGTGCAGCTAGGGGCAGGGGAGGGAGGTGTGGGGGCGGAGCGGGGGAACTGCGACGTCATAGATTAGTTTTCAGGTGAGTGCGCGCGCACAAAAAAAAAAAAAAAAAAAAAAAAAAAAACCTCTGCGCCCCCCCCCCCCCCCCCTCCAAGGGCTCACATCAGAGCCCACTATGGTCCTGTTGGGTTCGATGCCCCAATCTGCGGGATAATGCCATCCACCTGACCGCTCGCTCCCGGTCCCCGCGTGCGCACTATGGCTGCCGCTTTGACCCGAGCCCCCTCACCCCCTCCCTCCCTCCCCCCTCCTCTCTCCCCCCAAACCCTCCCCCCTCTCCATCTCTCCCGCTCTCTCCTCCTCTCTCTCCGTCCCTCTCGTCTTCTATCCCCACTTGACCCTCCCACAACCTCCCTCTGTTCCAGTCTGGGAATCCTCCGCCGGGCTCACCGCGGCACTCGGCGTTGGCTGTCCAGCAGCAGCCACACCGACTGCCCCATTCCCCACCACTCTCGCCAGCCACCCCGGACACAGACCCGGGGAGTCAACCTCTCCTCCCTCATCCCCATCTCCCCCACCCCTGCCTCACAACCTGGACCCCCCTCCCCTCCCACACACCCTTCTGTCAACCGCTCCCTCCACATCGGACTGCAAAATGTCCGCTCCCTCTGCAACAAGGCCCTGGTCATCAACGATCTCATCCTTGATGAGAACGTTGATATCATGGCCTTGACAGAAACGTGGCTCACCCCAGGCGACACCTTCCCCCTCACGGAGGCCACGCCACCCGGCTACACCTCCCACCACATCCCCCGCCCCAACCGCCGTGGCGGTGGTGTTGCCCTTATCTCAAGGACACCACTTGCCCTATCCCCCTACTCCTCTGGCTCTTTCCCCTCCTTCGAGCACCTCACCCTCTCCCACCCCTCATTCCTCTCCCTTAAAATCCTCCTCCTCTACCGGCCCCCTAAAACCTCTCCCACCTTCATCTCTGACATTTCAACACTCCTCACATCTCTTTGCCTCTCCTCTGATCGCCTCATCATCCTGGGCGACTTTAACCTACACTTCACCCCCTCCTGCTCCATCTCCACAGACTTCTCTTCCCTGCTCTCCTCACTCAACCTTTCCCTACACATAAACTCCCCCACTCACAGTCACGGCCACCCACTCGATTTGGTGATCACCCGGGGCCTCAGTGTCTCGGATGTCACTATTACCGACAAGGCCATCTCCGACCACTACTTCATCTCCTTCACCACCTCCACCCCCCTCCCCACCTCCACCAGACCCACCACCATCTTCTACCGCCCTTGGAAGAAGTTACCCCCACAATCCCTAACCGATGCCTTGGAGTCCTCTGAACTCCTCTCCCTCTGGCCTTCAACCCTCACCGACCCCTCTTCTCCTCTCTCCCTCCTCCACAATATCCTCTCCTCCACACTCGATACTCTTGCCCCCATCACTTCCCGCACTGTCTCCTACTCCCGCTCCTCCCCCTGGTACACCACCCACCTCCGCTCACTGAAATGCCAGGTGCGGGCTGCTGAGCGCACCTTTGTCAAATCCGGCTTAACGGTCCACCGACAAATCTGGCTGGACCTCCTCAAAATTTACCGCTCCACTCTAGCCTCGGCCAAGTCGTCCTTCTACTCCAGGATAATCCTGGAGGCGAAGAACAACCCCAGGCTACTGTTTTCCACCACATCCCGACTCCTCCGTCCCCCCCGCCACCCCGCGCAGGTCATCTCCTCCAACCTTCACTGCGAGGAGATGCTGGATTTCCTTGAATCCAAGATCAAGGGAATCCGCTCCGCGGTCACTTCCCCTCCAACTTCCACCCACCACCCACCCCTTCCCTCCCACACTCCGACTCCTACCCATCCTCCCCTACACACCTTCGTACCCGTTTCCCCACCCTCTGTCACTGAACTCATCCTATCCCTAAAACCAACCACCTGCTCCCTTGACCCCATCCCCACTCCACTCCTTATCTCCCAGCTCCATTTTCTTGCCCCACACATCACTGACATCATAAACCTGTCCCTCTCCTCTGGCTCTGTCCCCATTCCATTAAAAACTGCCATCATCACGCCCACCCTGAAAAAACCCTCCCTTGATGCGTCGCAGCTATCAAGCTACCGGCCCATCTCCAACCTCCCCTTTCTCTCCAAGGTCTTGGAAAGAGTTGTCGCCTCCCAACTGCGCTCTTTCCTCTCCACCCATTCTCTTTTTGAACCCCTTCAGTCAGGTTTCCGTGCTGCTCATAGCACAGAAACTGCCCTGGTCAAGGTCACCAATGATATCCTGACCATCTGTGACCAGGGCTCCCTCTGTCTCCTCGTCCTCCTCGACCTATCGGCAGCATTCGATACGGTCGACCACGCTATCCTACTCCACCGCTTGTCCTCCCACCTCAACCTTCAAGGCACTGTCCTTGAATGGTTTAGCTCTTACCTTTCCCACCGTCTTCACTTCGTCTCAACGAATGGCTTCTCCTCCACCCCCCGTACTGTCTCATGTGGTGTCCCTCAGGGCTCTGTCCTCGGTCCCCTCCTCTTCACCCTCTATATGCTCCCCCTCGGTGACATCATCCGCAAACATGGGGTTAACTTCCACATGTATGCGGATGACACCCAACTCTACCTTTCCTCCTCTACTCTCAACTCCACGACCACCGATGTCCTGACAGCCTGCCTGTCCGACATCGAGTCCTGGACGAGAGACAACTTTCTTCAGCTCAACGTGCGAAAAACCGAGGCCCTCCTGATTGGCTCACGTCAGCGCCTCCGCACCTCAGGCGCTGACACCATCAGCATCCAAGGCTGCACTCTCCACCTCTCAAAGCCAGTCAGGAACCTCGGCGTTTTGTTCGACCCTGAGCTGTCCTTTCTCCCTCACATCCGCACCACAACTGGCACCGCCTTCCATCACCTCCGGAATATCGCCAGATTACGGCACTACCTCACCCCTCACGCTGCTGAAACCCTGGTTCACGCCTTTGTCACCTCAAGGCTGGACTATGGGAACTCTCTCCTCGCCGGCCTTCCCGCCACCTCCCTCCACAAGCTGCAGGTCATTCAGAACTCTGCAGCTCGTGTACTGTCCCGCACCAGGCTTCGGGACCACATCACTCCTACCCTCGCTCGCCTCCACTGGCTCCCCATCCCCCAGAGGATTGATTTCAAGATCCTCATCCTCACCTACAAGGCCATTCACGGCCTTGCTCCCTCCTACCTCTCCAACCTACTATCCCCCTACCTACCTGCCCGTACCCTCCGTTCCTCTGGCTCCGGTCTGCTCCACGTCCCCCGCCCCAACCGCCCTACTATCGGTGGTCGGGCCTTCAGCCTCTCAGCCCCGAGGCTCTGGAACTCCATCCCCCAGTGCCTTCGCCTTGCTTCCTCCCTTTCCTCCTTCAAGGCCGGTCTCAAAACCTTTCTCTTTGACCGAGCCTTCAGCTCCCCTCTCGACTCTCTTCCTCCTCCTCGCTCCCTCCCTTCCCTCCCCTCACCCTGACCATTTCCCCCCTCCTCTCTCCCTCCCTCCCCTCACCCTGACCATTTCCCCCCAATGCTCGGGTCATGACCCAACTGTGCAGCGCCTTGGGACGTCCTCCTGACGTGAAAGGCGCTCTATAAATGGAATCTTGTTGTTGTTGTTGTTGTTGTTTGTATATGTGTGTGTCTTTGTGTGTATTTGTCTGTGGGTCATGAGTTTGATTGTACATATGTGTGTGTATTTGTGTGGTGTGTGTGTCTGTGAGTTTTTGTGTGTTCTATCTGTGTCTGTATGTGTGTTTGTGTGTGTGTGTTTGTGCATCTGTGTTTCTATGTGAGACTGTGTGTCTGTTTGTGCATTTATGTGTATTTGGGTGTGTGTGTTTTTGTAATGGTGCGTATTTGTGTGCATCTGTGTGTATCTGTTTCTGTGTATATGTTTGTGTATGCGTGCATGTGTTTTTGTGCGTGTGTGCTTGTGTGTTTGTGTGTGTATTTGTTCTTGGTGTGTTTGTGCATTGGTGTGCGTGCGTGTGTCTGTGTGTGTTTGTGTGTCCGTGTGTGGGTGTTTGTTTGTGTATGTGTGTCTTTGTGTGTATTTGTCTGTGGGTCATGAGTTTGCTTGTACATATGTGTGTTTTTGTGTGTGTGTGTGTGTGTCTGTGAGTTTTTGTGTGTTCTATCTGTGTCTGTATGTGGGTTTGTGTGTGTGTGTGTGTTTGTGTGTGTTTTGGGGCACTCCAGTAAACTGTCCGGTATCAAACAAACTGTGTGTTACAGTGGGTTATACACACTGTGTTTACTCTGATCCCTGTAATGTCTCTGTGTCTCTGATCTCCAGGCTGGAGGATAACAATCTGACAGCAGATTATACCGACGATCTGTTCTCCGCTCTCAGCACAAACCATTCACTGACGGGGCTGCACCTGAACAAGAATTATCTGGATGATTGTGGAGTGAAGCGACTGTGTGAGGCTCTGAGGAACCCGGAGTGTAAAATACAGAGTCTGGAGTAAGTAACGCACTGTGTCTCCAAAGTCTGAATGACTCCAATATCTCAATGTGTTTATTGTGACTGTCTGATCAGTGCGGCTGAATATTGTGACAGGAATCGTGTGACAGTGTGAGGCCACAAGCCATCGTTTACATCAAACTCTCAACGTGTGTTAATAAGAAACCATGTGCTGGAAACCCCAACTCTAATGACATGTGGACAGTCACAGCTCCGACCCCTAAACTGGCTCCAAGCCCAAACCCGCTCCCATTGTGTCTAATCCCGAAGCTCCTGCCCTGGTCCCGTCAATCCCTCCACACACTGTGGGTTTGTAGTTCTCTACTATTGTCAGCCGTGTGTCTGACACACACACAAACCTGTCATCGGACTTCAAACTCTCCAAACAAACCTCCTGACAGTTCCACATCCGACTGGAGATTTGTGTGTGTGGAATGGAGGCACATTCTCTCCACGGCAGTGGGAAGCTTTTGATCCACTGGGAGACTTTTCAGATAAATTGTGTACTAATCCAGAATCCAAGCCTCACTGGGAGCTCAGAGCAGCACTGAATAGTGTGTTTGTTTTGTGTTTGTATTGTGTTGCTGCATGTGTGCGTTTCTGTGTACACGTGTGTGTGTGTGTGTGTGTGTGTGCACGTGTGACTGTGTGGAGCTTGTTTTTGTATGCAGGCCTTTGTGTATTTTGTGCGTTTTTTTGCGCTGTGATTGTATATATTTTTCTATGCGCCAGTGAGTCTGCGTGTGTCTGCTTTTATGTTTGTGCGTGTGTTAAGGGTATTTTTTGTGTGTGTACGCATGTGTATGTGTATGTGTGTGTATGTGTATGTGTGTTTATTTTATATCTTTGTATGTTTTTTTTGTATGTGTTTGTACATGTGTGTCGGTTTCTGTGTGTGTGTGTATGCACACTCCTGCAATCTGTCCGGCTCCAACATGATGGCAGCGCTTCCTCCCTAATCCTGAGATATTGAACTCACTCACGTCTATGTTTCCATCCATATTCTCCACTGACATTTGCTCCCGGACGCAAATATTTTTGAGGAAAAATCAGGTGTTGAGGTACCGTTTTGTTGGTATCTTTACAGTCGAAATGTCTGGAAAAACCTCACCCAGAATAAAGTCTGCACAGCTTTAGCCCTGAGTTAGCCTGTGTCTGCTCACACATTGCAGCTGAGCCCTGTAGCTCAGTGGTTAGAGCCCTCGCCTCGCTAGCGAGAGGGCCTGGGGGTGATTCCTGGCAGGGAAAAACCTTACAGATTTTTGCTTACTCCACTCGAGTGTCAATAACAATCCGTTTGTTAGACGATTTGCAAATCACTTGTCTCGGATAATAATAACTTCAAAACAATATTTCACACCAAAAATATACAATCAATACACTTTACAGTACATCCTGTGAAGAGATTTGAGGCGTTTCCAAGACATGATGAGGCGCTGTATCAAATGCCAGGATTATTATTATATTATATATTATATCTGGGTATCAGGAAAACCCTCTGAGGCCCCCTCGCTGGGAGCAGGGACTGTCTGAGGCTCGTTTTACATCTTTGTATCCGCTTGTGGGCTCTAACGCCTCTTCCTTCCGTGGGTGACGCCCTGTAGTGAATGATAGTGGGTTATACACACTGTGTTTACTCTGATCCCTGTGATTTCTCTGTGTCTCTGATCTCAAGGCTGAACAGGAACAGACTGACCGATGGCTGCACTGATGCTCTGGTCTCCGCTCTCAGTACAAACCGCTCACTGACGCTCCTGGACCTGAGCTCTAACTCCTTCACAGACGGCTCTGTCCGCGCTCTCCGCCGCCTCATACAGACCTGCACCAGTCTGGAGGAGGTCTGGTAAGTGATTGTGTCAGTGGTTAATGTGATAAACACACAGAGAAAGGCTGTGAATCAGAATGGGAACAGTTTGAAGGGATTTATGTATTTGTTAAACTGCGACATGAACAGTTTACATTATCCCGTGGGTTTATTTCCTGTTTAATGTGTTTCAGGCTGCTGGGGAATAGGTTCAGTTCAGACGGACGGAATCAGCTGTTGTCATTGCGGAGAATCAGAGCTGAGCTGAGAGTAGAAATATGACACTGACTGAGTCAGTGACTGTCCACACAGTCTGTGTAATATGGAATATATTCTGTACACTGTAGTGACTGATTATTAAAGATGATAATCCTGATTCCTCTCCCATCCCTGCCCTGGGGACTGTTATTATCACATAAATCCTGACATACACCTGCCATCTGCCTCTCTCTTCCCTTATTATCCTTTCTCTCTCTCTCCCTGTCATTCTTTCTCTTTATCAGTCTCTCTCTCTCTCTCTTCACAGTCTCTCTCTCTCCCTCTCATCCACAAAACAGGCAGTGACTACACTTTATAATATATTCAACTTTGTTGTCTCTCTCACGGTCTCCCTCCATCTGTCCCTCCCTCTCTCTCTCATTCTCTCTCTCTCTCTCATTCTCTCTCTCTTACATGTTCACTCTATCTCTCTCTCACACTCTTACACACTCTCTGTCTCCCTCGTACTTTCTCTATGTCTCTCACTCACACTCGTTCTATTTCTCTATCATACTCTCTCACATTCTCTCTGACCCTATCTCTCACACTTGGTCTCTCTCACACTCTCTGTCCCTCTCTCACATTCTCTCACTGTCTCTCACACTCACAATTTCTCTGTCTTTCTCACACTCTCACACTCACTCTGTCTGTCTCACACTCTGACACACACATTCAGACAGACACAAAGTCGTATAGACACAGACACAGAAACACACAGACACACACACAGAAACACTTAGATACACACGCAATGATGCACACACAGCCACAAACACACAGGTATGCAGAAACATACACACGGACAGACACAGTCACATACAGAGACACACTCACAAACACACACACAGACACAGCCACGTACATATACACAGACATATACAAGCACACACAGACACACGCAGATATACACATGCAGACACACATACAGACAAAACAGACACACACACAGACACACTCACACATATACACACAAAGACACACATGTATATAGAGAGTAACACTCACATAAACACAAAGACACACAAACATATACACATAGATACAGAAACACATATACACACAGACACACAGAAACATGCATACACACACAGAGACACACTCACAGACACACAGAGACAAACAACACACGACAGACAGAAACACACACAAAGACACACGCAGAAGCAAACATACATATACACGCACACAGCCACACACATACACACAAGACACACGGGCATACACATGCAGACACTCATATGCAGACACACACAACCACACACACTCACAGACACAAACACACACACTCAATTACACAAACACATTCAGACACAAACATACACACAGACACAAACATACACACAGACACAGATACACAGACACACATATGCACACACACACACACAGAAACATAGATGCACAGAAACACATGCCCACACACAGAGAAACACACACACAGATACACACAGACACACACACAGACATACACAGAAACACACACACAGAAACACGCACAGACACACACACAGTCACACACACAGGGACACAGCAACACACACACAGACACACACATACATACACACAGACGCGCACACGCATATACACACAAACACGCAGACACATGCATACATACAGATATACGCACACACACACACACACACACACAGGCACACACACACACACACAGACACAAAATCGCACACACACTCACATACACACACATGTACACACAGACACAGGCTCACACACACACAGAAACACACAAACACATTAACAAACAGACACCATAGAATTACATATGCACACAGACACACACAGAAACACACACACACAAACACAAAGACGCACACGCACAGACACTTTCACAGACACACATTCACACAGACACACAGACACAGCAAATATCTGTGAAATCTCTTAAACCCAAAGAGAAACTGAACAAATCTCTGCAGCACAAAATCAGCTTCAAACCCAACAAATAAAGACACAGATTTTACTGTAAACCCATTGAAACATCGACTTTAACCAATAAAAATGTTTAAAGTCACTCACTTTGCACAGAGCTTGGCGTGTGTCTGTCTGTCTCTGTGCTGTCTCTGTATCTCTGTGTCTGGATCGCTGTGTCTCTCTATGTGTCTGCCTCTGTGTCTCACTTTGTATCTCTCTGTCTGTGTCTATGTCTGCATGCCTGTCTGTCTGTATCTATGTATCTCTATCTGTGTCTGCCTGTCTCCGTGTCTCTCTCTGTATTTCTTTGTCTGTCTGTCTGTCTGTCTGTCGGTCGGTCGGTCGGTCGGTCGGTCGGTCCCTGTGTCTCTCTCTCTGTGTCTCTGCCTATCTCTGTCTCTCTCTCTGTATCTCTCTCTCTGTCTCTGTGTCTCTCGCAATGTATGTCTGTCTGTCTCTGTGACTCTCTCGGTAGCTCTCTGTCTGTCTGTGCCTATGCCTTCTGTGTGTCTGTCTCTATGTCTCTCTCTGTGTCATTCTGTCTGTGTGACTGTGTGTCTCTCAATGTCTTTGTCTCTGTCTGTCTGTGTCTCTAAGTCCCCACATCTTCAAGGTTCATAATGCATCAGTAAAAACTCTTCACGAATATCAAATATATGCATGTACTTTTGCATTAACTTTTCCTTTTGAATTTAATACCAAACCCATGAAAAACATCTGCAGCCGGTTATGGAATCCAAAGATTGCTAGGATTCAAAGTGCACCAGTGCAAAATATACCCAATTCTGCATTAATATTAAATATCTCCATGTGTTTTTGCAGGAGCTTTGTATTATAATAATAACCCACTCTCTGGGTAGCACACGGGAAACGGGTTTGCAAAGTTATTAAACACCAATTTATAAAGACATGAAGCGGGTTATAAACGTCCCAGAAACCCAGGATTTTATGTACATTAGTGCAAAACTTTCCTAATTCTGCATTAATATCAAATATATCAATAGGTTTTTGCATAAACTTTTCCCTTTGATTTTAACCCCAAATCCGTGAAAAACACATGCAGTGGGTGGTAAAATTCCCAGATTCCTGGTGTGCAAAACATCCCCAATTCTGCCTTTATATTAACCAATTAACTGCTTTTTGTATTAATATTTTGCATTAACTGTGCAAGCCACAGCCCCTGTAGCTCAGGGGTTAGACCCATCGCCTCGCACCCCACAGCCCCTGTAGCTCAGGGGTTAGGCCCATCGCCTCGCACCCCACAGCCCCTGTAGCTCAGGGGTTAGACCCATCGCCTCGCACCCCACAGCCCCTGTAGCTCAGGGGTTAGACCCATCGCCTCACATGCCGCAGTTCCCGTAGCTCAGGGGTTAAATCTCACGCGACACATTCACTCAACTTTTCAGTCAAACCCACAGTCACAACACTTCATAGCCAAACACGCCGTCACTTCACTTGACAGTCAAACACACAGTCACTATCCTTTACACTAAAACACACAGTCACTACACTTTACAGTCAAACACATAGTTACTGCACTTTACAGTTAAACACAAAGTCACTAAACTTTTCAGTCAAACACACATTCACAACACTTCACAGCGAAACACACAATCACTTCACTTGACAGTCAAACAGACAGTGACTACCCTTTACATTGAAGCACACAGACACTGCACTTTACAGTCAAACAGAGTCACTACACTTCACAGTCAAACACATAGAACATAAGAATTAGGAGCAGGAGTAGGCCATCCGGCCCCTCGAGCCTGGCCCGCCATTCCATGAGATCGTGGCTGATCTTCTGACCTAACTCTAATTACCTGCCCTCTCCCCATATCCCCTAATCCCTCTATTTTTTAAAAAACATATTAGTCTCAGACTTGAAGATGTTCAAGGACTGACCGTCTACAGCCTTCTGGAGGAGTGAATTCCATACATTCACTGCCCTCTGAGTGAAGAAATGTTTCCTCAACTCTGTTCTAAAAGGCTGACCCTTAATTTTCAGACTGTGACCCCCGGTTATAGATTCTCCCACCGGGGAAACAGACCCTCAGTGTCTACTTTATCAGATCTTACCCTCCCACCGAGTTTAGTTTAGTTTAGTTTAGTTTAGTTTAGTTTCATTTCGTTTCGTTTCGTTTAGTGTCATCTGCGAATTTTGATACGTTACATTCAATGTCCTCGTCTGGATCATTGATGTAAATTGTAAATAGCTGAGGCCCAAACACTGATCCTTGTGGCCCTCCACTAGTCATCTCCTGCCAATTCGAGAATGATCCATTTGTCCCTACACTCTGTTTTCTACCCGTTGGCCACTCTTCAATCCATGCTAATATGTTCCCATTAATCCCATGCGCCTTAACCTTTTGTGTGGCACTTTGTCAAATGCCTTTGTAAAATCCAAATATACTACATCTACTGTTTCCTCCCAGTCTATCCTTTTAGATACATCATCAAAAAACTCTAAAAGATTAGTTAAGCACTCAAGAATTTTTCCTACCACTGATATCAGACTAAGTGGTCTATAGTTCCCTATCTTTTCTCTCCCACCCTTCCTTAAATAGTTGTGTAATATTTACAATCTTCCAATCAATGGGAACCATTCCAGAATCCACAGAATTTTGGAAGATCAAAGACAAGCCATCCACTATCTCAGTAGCCACCTCTTTTAAAACCCGAGGATGTAGGCCATCAGGTCCAGGAGATGTAGCAGTTTTAAGAGCTGATAATTTACCTAAAACCATTTCTTTCCTACTATTAATTCCCTCAAGTTGCTCGCTAACATTTTCTTCTTTGTTCCCCTCTATTCTTGATAGATTTTCAGTGATTTCTAAGGTGAAAACAGTAGCAAAGTACATGTTTAATGACGATGGACGTCTTTGCCCCCTACTATAATTCCCCCCGCCTCTGCCTGTAGCGGACACACATTTACTTTTGACAGCCACTTCCTCTTTATATATTTATAAAAACTCTTGCAGTCTGTCTTTATGTTCTTCACTAGTTTGTCCTCATAATTTCTAATTTCTCCCTCTTAATCAGTTTTTTTCGTTCTCGTTTGTTGATCCCTAAAGTTCTCCCAATCCTCAGGATTACTA